TTGCATATTTTAAACACAAACATCGTTCATGTTTTCTTTATGGAAAAGCCATGAAGAACCCTGCTCGCTTCAAAAAGCATACTTTCAAGTTCCAAAAGAAAAAATAAAAAAGTTGAAAGCATCAACCTGATTCAAAAATTTGCCATCTGGTGGTAAACAAGTTCTCTTGAGATCAAATAGGAACTCTAGAAATTGGCTACAGCTGAGCAACGTAGACCTATTATAGAAGGTCGTCGTAAAAAGTTTTTAAAATGTTCCAAAAATAAAAATACTTCAATACGCGACAGGGAAGTTCCTTCTCTTTTCAAAAGCTATGCTCACGCTGCAAGTCATGCCACGAGTTCAAAGATAATTGTCGAAGCTTACAGGCAGCGTCGCAGCTCTGAACCTATGGGAATTTCATGTGGAAAGTACTTTTGGGGCCCTAACTAAGGCACTCAAGCGGCAGTGCAGGTAGTGCTCTAACGGCCGAGATATTCCCCTCGAAATGGACCTCGCGATCGTATTCGCATGGATTCATGGCAGTTTCGTGCCAGGACACACGCTTTGCACCATGAATCCATGCGAAATACGGTCATGGGGCCTAGTTTCCGGAATATCTCAGCTGTTAGAGCACTACCTGAGCTGCCGGTTGGGCAGTGGCTTAGTTAGGGCCCCAAAATTACTGTTCATGCGAGATCTTCATGTGTCCAGACTTGCTTGGACGCTACCTTTAAGGTCCTTCTTTCTCACTTTCGTTGCGCAGGCATATACCCTCACATGAGATAATCGTGTATACATTTGCCGTATCGTCCCTTTTTCAAAGTGTAAAAACCCAAATAAAAAGAACCCGACCAGTAAAATAAATATCGCCTTTCAAGTATTTTCTGCTAAATTTAATGTTTCTCAAATGCTATCACTCAAACCTAAAAATTTATGGTAATACTCCTGAAAGTTCTATGATGTACTAATTCAAAGATAAACTGAATTTTTGAGTGTGTTACAAATATCATAAATCTAATGGCTATATGTATCGGCGTCAAAACATGCTGATGAGCAATACATGTCGCTGGGAGGCGTGCAAGTGGTACCCAGGCAGCCGACTGCTGCCGCAGCCAGCCGCCAGAGCTGTAGGCAAAGCCGCCGCGGATGGTACAGTAATTACGCTTGTCGTCTATAACTCTTGCCGAGAGGTTTTGTCGCACCTCGTCGCTCTGAGGTGCGATATCAGCCTAAGGAAAGCGTGATATTCTCGATATTTATATCATTTTGAACAACAGAAAATTCATGTTTTTTGTGAAACATGCAGATAAACAAAGGTGAACAGAGGGTTTTTTTTAGAGGAAGACGATCATAAAATTGAATCACTTCAAAAATTTAAAGCTGGCTGCGTCACCAGCCGGCTGCCCGGGTACCACTTGCTACGCACCCCCAGCTATCCGCGCCTCTGCCGGTGACAGTAGCACCTAGAATGGGTCTAGCGCGAACGTAGTGTTAAAGTGAGCGAAGTCGTTTTCAGGTTACGATCAGAAGCAGGCGCGGGGTTTTGGGGACGAATTTCTCAGCCGTGAATGGACCATTTGCGCGCCACTTGAACAGTACTTTAGTTTGGACCCCCTCATTTTCCAGGCGAAAAACTCATGCGCCCAGATTTCGCCCAGACACTGCCTTCAAAGGAGATGTTCGTGTAGACATGAAACCTTTCGAAGGCAGCGTACACCCAAAATTTCGCCTTCGACGTTTTTGTCATTCTGGGGCCTTTCTGTGCCCCTGATCACAGTTATGACAATCCCCGATTCTTCGGGACCCTCTCTTCAGAGAAAGAGGAGTTTCGAATTGCTCGACCTCGTTGGCATGTCAGCGTGGGGTAGAGGAACGAACACCTCAATTAGGCATCGCTTCCGCGGGCTGAGGGTCCTTTCGTCCCACTGTTGTGCATCGTGTTAGGACCAGTAGTACGCGGAGGTGGGGCTTAATTGAGGTGCTCGTTCCTCCATCCGCCAGCGAAGAGTGGCTGCAACTGCATGACAGCCTGCAGTATAGTCGTCCTCACCCCACTAGTCGGTCGGTGGACGAATTCGAATTCGAACTGGAGCAGGCAGGTCGGATCAGAGCACGGCACCTTAGCTCTCCGATCAAATTCACGCATTCACTTTGCGTATTTCTTCGCCATTGCTTAGCAGTTTTTGCATTGTTACAACGTTTTTGACCTATATTGAGTTTTTGTAATTGCTGAGCGTTGTCTCCTGCCGCGCTCTGCCGTGACAGGCCTGCTCCAATTCAAATTTGAATTCGTCCACCGACCGACTAGTGGGGTGAGAGCGACTATACAATAGCAGATGCAACTGCAACTGCAGCTGCAGGATTCGTCCGAAGGAGGCGGAGTGAAAAAAAATCAGGCGGGTTTTCTCCGCTCAGAAGCAACATTGGGAGACCGGACCAGCGCAGTTGGTCTTCATCTGGGCCTCGTATATACACAATATAGAGAACTGGTTAACTTAACTTTTGGGTTGTACGCTGCCTTTAAGTTCTACCTCAGTCTAAACCATTGAAGGCTAACAAGGTCTCCATGCATGCTAATCATACCAAATAACTTTTTGCGCGTTCGTTTTTTGGCTCATGGCTCAATCAAATTTTTGACGAATATCAGAACTCGGACGAAGAGACAACGGCAATTCGTTCTAAGCAATAAATCTGAAGCCAGCTCCACAAAATGAGACCTCAAGCTTCTTGGAAAACTTGATAATACGAGAGTTATCAACAATCAAACAGTAGGCATTTTTTGGAGGGGGGGGGGCAACCTCAAATTTTTACACGAAATTGATCGATAAAACCGTAGAAGGATCTTCCTGAATGGTCATCAAAAACGTGATTATACCCAACTAGCTGGCTTACCCGGCTCCGCCGTATCCGGACCAAACTTGGCACACATACACTTCGGGCCCCGGCGGGTGTCACAGTCCACTTTTCGTTATCGATCGATGTCGATTTTACCGATTTTTATCGATTTTTTGCAGAGTTCACCTACAGGGCTAGGAGTTGGCACAGGGGGGAAGTGAGCATGGGGATTCCGAATACAATATTAGTTTTCAGAATTATCGATTACTCTTATTGATTTTATCGATTTTTTGTAAATTTTGACATGCGAGGCTGGGATTTTGCACAGGGGGGTAATCGAGCATGCTGATTACGAACACAATATTAGTTTTCAGGATCGTCCATTACTTTTATCGATTTTATCGACTTTTTTGTAAAGTTTGACCTGCGGGGCTGGGAGTTTGCAAAGGGGGTAATCGAGCATGCAGATTACGAATACAATATTAGTTTTCAGGATCGTCCATTACTTTTATCGATTTTATCGATTTTTTGAAAATTTGAGCTAGGGGGCTGGAATTTGGCACAGGGGTGTAGTCGAGCATGCTGATCACCCCCCTTGGGGATGATCAGCATGCTCGATTACCCCCCTGTGCCAACTCCCAGCCCCCTAGCTCAAATTTTGCAAAAAAATCGATAAAATCGATAAAAGTAATCGATAATCCCGAAAACCAATATTGTATTCGGAATCCCCATGCTCGATTACCCCCCTGTGCGAACTCCCAGCCCCGTAGCTCAAACTTTGCAAAAAAATCGATAAAATCGATAAAAGTAATCGATAATCCTGAAAACCAATATTGTATTCGGAATCCCCATGCTCGATTACCCCTCTGTGCCAACTCCCAGCCCCGTAGCTCAAACTTTGCAAAAAAATCGATAAAATCGACAAAAGTAATCGATAATCCTGAAAAACAATATTGTATTCGGAATCCCCATGCTCGATTACCCCCCTGTGCCAACTCCCAGCCCCGTAGGTGAACTCAGCAAAAAAATCGATAAAAATCGATAAAATCGATATCGATCGATGACGAAAAGTAGCCTATGACACCCGCCGGGGCCCGAAGTGTATGTGTGCCAAGTTTGGTCCGGATCGGTTCAGAAATGGAATTTTCTATTCGGAACATACGTACATACATACATACATACATACAGACATACAGACATACAGACAAACAGACATTCAGCTTTATATATAAGATATGGTTTCGATGCTTGAGGAAAAATGTGTTTTGCTGTTTTATCGTTGTTAATTCGTTGTTTCATCTGTTTTTTCACAGTCAAGAATTATTAGTATCAATAATACCGCGAAAACGGTAGTAATGTTATGCGTAATATCATAGGCATATTCGAAGGCGTTCGCGCTCTGCTCGAATATATAGCCATCAAAACCGTCGATTAGCAAATACTTTTTTGACTTCAAAATGTTTTGCGCTCCGTCGATTCAATTTCTTGATACGACGCTAACACTAATAGGTCTTCATTTCGTTATTATCAACCTTACTCCCTCCTACACTAAAGCACAGGCATATAATACATCCCAGGCATCCCAACTCTAGATTGGAATGATGTTTTCTTTACGAAAAAGCGATTTGTTACTGCAAACGCGCAAATGTTGCGATTTGCTGTAGGAAGGTAGGAATCGGCTGTGTTTTAGTTTTTTTCTTTAAAATTTTGCGAAACAAATAAAATGTACGAAAAACCTTGCTTGCTTCAAAAGCATGCTTTGAAATCCTAATAACAAATCAAAGAATTTGAAAACAATAACATGTTTCAAAAATTTGCCATCTGGTGGTAAACAAGTTCTCTTGAGATCAAATCGAAACCTCAAAAATTAGCTACAGCTTGTTTTAGAATTGAGATGAAGTGTAATAGAAATCTTTGGCCAACTCAATATTGGCTTGTTTCAGGAACCTTTCCCTGATAAAAAACTTACTCAGATTTGATTTTTTTAAATGTAAGGTTGTTCATAGAGCGAATCATATCCTACAAGGTAGCTTGTGAACGTTCGAAAATGGTTTGAAATACGTCAAGTTTTAGGGAGGGGGGATGTGGGGGAATTTGAGCTACCGTACTAATAACAAGCAAAAGAGTCGTATAATAATCAATTAAACATGAGCATGCTCCCTGTAAATATGTTTTTTTTTCAGATGAAAACAACAGGAATAATTTGGAATATCATGCTGGTAGGTGATTTAACCTCTTTCATTTATCGCTTACTCTTTAACAACCCTTATAATTTTAGGCCCTTATGACTGTGTTCATCTGTACTGGTGAGCGTTCTTTAAAGAATAATGATGTTGCGATAATGCTGGATTGTTTCAGAAGCTTTACAACCTCCAATTGGACTGATACCACCTGGACATGTGCCGACCCGTCCATCCATTTATGCAATATACAAATTGAAAGAACGGTTGCACGATCTGTTGAAGCAGCGCAGGGAACGGTTGCACGATCTATTGAAGCAGCGCATGAACCACTGAAGAAATGAAAGATGTATTACGATAGCACCAGCACCTTCACCAAGTCTGGCAATTTCTTCGTTGCTGTGCATAAACTTTGACGTAGCACTTTTTTTGATTTGTAATTCTGCACAATGCTTTGGAACAGCTTTCGAACATCTCTTACTGGTGTTTTGGGAAGTTCTACCATTTTAAAGTCGACAAATACAGGAGGTCACTTAAGAGTTGCAAAAATGTGGGAAATGACAGGGCTATTGTTAGGTACAAGCTGAAAATAAGAAGATTTACTTATGCTGTTTCACGTTTAACGGGTTTTGGAAAAAGCAGTTTTCCATAAACATTCAACTAGCCATATTAGCTAGAGTACAGAGCTCCGCTCGGCCCTTTCTATGTCATGATGGAGCTCACTGCTTACTCCCACTTCTTCAAAGAATCTCTGCCGCCACATTGCCAAAAATATTCCGTTAACTAAGTTTTGCCTCTTTTTCCATAACTTTTCCCTATTCGCACGTGGTACAGTCAAACTTTGAGATTGTTCAGACTGTGATGTGTTCTACAATTACAGCAATTTGCTCCAAATTCTGGCAACCCGTGTAGAGGTTACGGTAGGTGTACGGCAAAAAGAAAAAAGAACTCCAGAACGCTCCAGATCCTCACACTCTCAGCTGAAACTTTGTCTAGGCGTTTCACTACTCGCTGATTACAAAAGTCGTTTTCATCTTGCAAGACAATGTATTCTTTGGTAAGCTTGCAAAAAATTTCTAGTTTGACGACAAATGAATATGATAGTCGTATTCAGCAAGTAGAATTACCCTATAACGCAAAGTTCTGGCAAGTTCTGAGCTTTCCTCACTAGTTATTGATGGATATTAGCATCAATTCTGCGTACAGCTGCATTGTTCAACTTCCCAAGGGCGCCAGATCTCGAAAAGTTCCCAACTACTGCCATTTTTTACAAAGCTTAGAGAGCCAGTCTTTGGCAGTAACCGGTAATTTTGCAAAAGTTCTGTTTTATTTGATAAGTTTAGGGCTGCGAACGGCTTCATCTTTACCTATAATTCAGTGGATCTCCAAATTCCAGTAGTTTAAAAAAAAATTTTAGTTTTTTTTCTACTCGCTACCAAAAATCAAACAATTTGAGCTCGCTTGTAGCAAAGAATGCCAATGCCGAAGTTTGAGCGCACCATATCCAAAGAAGTAAAGGTTTGTGATACGTATCACACGCCGATATGTCCTTTTAGAGGCCAGCCAAAGGATCGGACCAACGCAGATCGGATACTCGTAGGGCCCGCTTTACAATTATGTGCTGATCTCGGTGGGAGGATCCTGCCTGGACGTTGCCTTTAAGCGAAAAATCAAATCCACTTAGCGATTATCATATTTGTAACCAGCACGTCCAGTACCTCTGTATACCATGTTCTATAACGTTTTGACTAGTTTCCTTTCTTACATGGAGAACCTTCCACGTTCGTGCGCTCTCTAACTTTTACCAAAGGTTTGGGGTTTAAGTAATAGTTACTCAAAAAATGCTGCTGAGGATTCCCTTAAATGTATCGCGCACTATGTTCAGAAATGGATACATAACGCCATAGGTTTTGTTCTGGGTGAAACCGGCGGCGATGTAAGTGATAGCACGATCGAAGGCATAGCCCTCATGAATTTTGTTCAAAATGTAAAGATGGCTCGTCGAAATTCGGCCGTGAGTGGTTGTATGAAGTCTGGCTTCAATTATTATGTTCACTTCGCCCAAGGGATCCCAGCGTATTGAACATGGTGGTTGCGTGTGCTTCAGTTGCTTAATTGAATGTCAAATCAGCTTCGTGGCTAAAGGTCAGATCTATCTAGCTACTAAATTCAAGGCAACAAGATTCATTAAGTGTGAAAAGATTTGATCACCGTGTTATACAAGCACTCACGATGGGATTTCGACGAAGTATGCGACCTTTGCATTTTGGACAAGACCCGTGAGGGCGCGTATTGATGGACAGGCGCTGCGTTACATGCGAAAGGACCTCCGCAGAAGAATTCGAGGGAACTGGAAATGGAATATCCAGCGCATGCTGTACATCAAAAGATTTGCATTGACGAGCTAACACAGTGCTGCTTCCGGATACAGAATATATTCATCCCGAAGGAAGTTATGGCGCTGCGTTTTTGATTCCCGTGATTCAGCGGAATTCCCGGAATTCCACGACGTTCAAGGAGCACATTGCTCATTCTGTGAACGGTATTCTACCTTGAGCTAATTTTAAAACCAAAGTAATCAGAGCGGCTCTCTACATACCCCCTACAGTAACCCTACAATGTGCCATCTATCACGTCAAAACTTGTCAAGGAGGCAGGATTAGCAGACCACCCCTTTTTTTGAGCTTCTCGCTTCAGAATCACCTTTTTCAATCGGACTTGAACTGTTGCATTAGTCAGAAGCCATTTGCCACAGTGCGTCAAAATCCAGCCAAAAGTGAGTTGACCTGGACAATGCCTTTAGGGTTTACCCTCCAAGTTGTTGATGACCCTCCTCAAGGATAGGTTCAACCCAGCCTACCCTTTGCTTCGTGAATACGGATTTTATGCTTTCTGTGCTGAAACTTTCCCTCAAGGGCATTTACCCTTAGGGTTCGTCGATGAATAGGTCCATAGAACTCCTTTCAGGTAATCGTTCGGCAAATGATAAACATATAGTTGAAATCAGCGTTTTAAGGCGCGGTGATATGTAACTTGTTTGGAATGGCTGGGTTAAGTCCTGACCATTCCTTCTTGGCACTGGTGGTGAGATAATCACTCTGAAGAAAGAAAAATTACTGAAAAGACGGTCTTGCAAAATGATTTGCACCAACCGGGAGTTGAACCCGGGTCTGTACCGTGGGAAGGTACAATGATACCGCTACACCATTGGTGCCTTGATTTTGATGAAACTCACACACATTCTTGATTCTATTTCCAGGAAGTCTTTTAATCGAACATTATTGCTTCAAATCCCAAAATGCAAAACGATTTGCACCAACCGGGAGTTGAACCCGGGTCTGTACCGTGGGAGGGTACAATGATACCGCTACACCATTGGTGCTTCGATGTATTGCTAGTGGCAGCCGGCTTTCGATGCTGTCAATACGGAAAGAGGGCACATCGTTCGATAGGGCGGCCACGCAGAGGCACGTTGAACGCTGGATGCAGGGACGTGTAGGCGAGTAAACAACATGGAGGCAGTGACAAATGTGCAAGAGAGAGGAAGGATGATGAGGGGAGGGCGGAGGGAGGGGGGATAGCGTAGGGATTCCATTCGTTTCGACTTAGGGCCGCATGCACTAACATCCCAGCTGGGGAGGGGATTGCAGCTCAAAAGAAAGCTTCATATTCTTCTGAAGCTCCAGATACCTGGATTTCACGTTGTGTACCTATCCGTAAGTATTCATACTACCCTTCACTATGAATATGTTAAAGAGGAGCGAGAAGCTGTACGAACCGCATTTTCCAGCTTTTGTATGATCCCTGATGATCCCCTCCGCTTTTCTTTAAAATCATTTTTCTTTCTCCGATGTTAACGAAAACTTCCAAAGTTGTACACATCTAACACAACAGTGCTAAGCATGTTGCTGATGAGAACAAATGAGTTTTTGAAAAATCGAATTTTTCGGTAATTTTTCGGTCTTCGGTAAACCTCAAATTTCGACCTGTGGATCATCGAAAATTTCATGACTTCAAAACATCATTCGTTCTTATCATGAACATGCTTAGCACTGTCGGGTTGGATAATCTGCACAACTTTGGAGGTTGTTCGTTAACTTCGGAGAAAGAAAAATGACTTTAAAGAAAAGCGTTGGGGATCATTAGGGATCATACAAAAGCTGGAAAATGCGGTTCGTACAACTTCTCGCTCCTCTTCAACATGTTCATAGTGAAGGGTGTCGCGGATTGGGCCCCCAGCTCCCAGCGTCAGTGGTATAATTGCTCTCCTGCATCGGCGAGGGGAGCCAGGGGTCCGCACCGTGAATAAGTGAACCATACAATGTGTGGTGGCTACCTGTGAGACGCTCGTTGTGCCTGCCACGTGGGTACTCCTTACGCTCTTAGGGGCCCTTGCCACCAGCCTGCTTAGTAGCGACTCGTCACCTGGGATCGACCTGTACTTCCAGCCACCGACAGCTGGGGCGTGCACTCATAACCGTGGCACTTAGCTAGCATCGTGCCAGCCTTCCTACAGATGTTACCTACGAGGCAAGATTACGAAATACACCTAAAATGACAACCCGATATTCCGGAGCCACAGCCGAGCCGTGGTCACCGCTCCAACACATATCACACCTGTAAAGTGCCCACCATTTATCCGCAATAAAATCCCTACACTCAAACACACAGGATGAGCAACAACCAGCCAGATGTTACCTAGGGGCCGGCAATAACGGAAACCCCCCGAGGCGGTGTCGCCGGCGTGTGCCAGGTGCGATCGCGCTCGGGGTTACCTCGTAGCGTGGGAGCCAGTCCTCTGTGGCGTAGAGAGAAGCACGCGAGAGTTGGGGTAGCGCTGGATCGATCGATGGTTGAGACGAAATGGAAACCCGACCGCTCACTGTGACGGCAGCTGCGAAGACTGAGTACGTGACTTATGCGAAAGCTGCGCAGGTAAGAGAGGTGAGAGGCGGGACAGCGCGACGACGGCGTTTCAGGACCCCTTCGCAGCGCGGGGGCGGCCTCCTTTGAAGGAAGTCGCGAATCCGCGACAAAGGGTAGTAGCAATACTTACGGATAGGTACACAACGTGAAATCCAGGTATCTAGAGTTTCGAAATATAAAGCTTTCTTTTAAGCTGCGATCCCCTCCCCGCGGGGATGTTAGTGCATGCGACCCTTAGACGAGAGTTCGTTCACTCAAGAGATTTGTTTGCATGCAAATGCGTACAGTATCTCGCATGCATTCCCTGTGCTTTTTTATGATTGGCTTTTGCTTTCAATATGGTTCTCAATTGATGCGAAATGTTTTATTCCATCTTTGTCATTTCGTTCTTTTATTTCTTTGAGCCCGAG